ACGTTTAGCATACCACGTAATGGAAGGTAAACACCCCTTAGCTTAGTGAGGGCTGTGCGGTCAGGAAGACTGCACCCAGCTGCATTGTTGAAAGACGTTACTCTTTTCGTTACTTCTTCAGATAAATTAAGACTCATTCGTCTTAAGTGAGTCCTTTGAAGTTATTCAGGCACTATATGTGAGAGGGTTCGCCAACTGGTTTAATTTATTGTCAGTTTCAGCAACAGAGTTTGTAATTGCTTTATACCGCTACTATTTCAGTGTCACAGATGGGATGTTAGAACCCTTAGTTTGTGAAATTTTGATTTTTTGCCTTAGTGAACCGTAATAATGGCTACACTGTGTTAGATCTTCAGCGTATTCGGCTACGATGCGGTGTGAATTTTGTGTAGGTTCTGATAAATTACGCAGCTATAACGTGGAATAGGCCTATTATTTAAATAACGTGGCTAAATGAACTAGTAATGAATTTAACCATAATTTAACGAGTCCATGATAGGTATATAGTAATTGACAAATGAACTTCGTGGTATACTTTTCAGGAGTAAAATGTACTCGATATAGGAGATAATGTGGTAATCCTAGCATAATACATCTTACAAATGATCTCAACCAAAAACTTAATATCTCCACAACCCCTAAACTGATAATTACCATGTGCTCACTAGTGACTAGCTTCGTGAGAAAATTCCAGGAGTTCTAGTGAGTAGCCGTGACCAGTGGATCCAATCCGTGTCGGGTAGAGACAGGTATCTACTTCGGTACAATAGAAGGTGTTCGCGCGATTTCGTGGATTGGTTGAGGTTAGACATTAACACCATTGGAAGCGGACTCCGTGGTCCAGTAGGTTCGCTCACGGGACTAGAGGCCCTGGGCTCGAACCCCGCAAGCGGGATCGTGGATGCGCATTGCTGAGGAGTCCCACAATAGGACGAAATGCCTGTCTGGTGCTTCCAGGTTTTCAATGGTGATCTAAAATCAATCGATTCATGATCTCGATTAAAGTGTACAAATCACGTAAGGAAGAGTTATCACCTTTAGGGTTCGTGCCAACGGCATTTTCTTGGTTACTGTATGTGTCATATTGACGAAGTTAGAAGTCTGCTCTTTATTAAAGTTTGGGATTGCGAAAACTTGTCAAATGTTTCACATAGATCCGTTGAGTCACTGTTGATTGTGTCATCCTGGATAGGAAATGGGATATGTTTTGTCTTATGCGTTCGTTTGCTTAGAACAGATGTTAGGCGCTTGGCATGGAGCTACTTCCAAGTGAGTCAAATACATATTTGCTGTCATTTCGTTCACATAATACATTTACAGATCCATAACTTTCATATATCGAATGCTAAGATGAATAGCCTTTAAAAGTGTGCCGTGCAGAAAGTTTTCTAACTTTCGTGCGCAATTACGTAGGAGGAAGGAAGGAATGTCACTATAAGTCCTGTGCACTTCTTCAGGTTTTCAAGCAAGACAGCACAGTCCTATGGAGAGTCAGCGTTGCTTCTGATTATGGGTTGTTAGTAAAATAGTATTCCCAATCACAGAAATTCATGAGTTTCCCCAGCGACGCTAGTCTACTTAGCGTGAATATTACTAACACTTTGTGTTCAGTGTACCTATCTACAGGAAACTATAAACTACCTTATAGTCGCTAGTAAGGAACACTTGATCAACCTGGGTAAGAAATAGGATATTGTTTGTTTAGCGCATGCGTTTATTTAGAAACGATGAGTAAATGTTCTTGTTAAATGCCTTTCGAATTTTACCATCAGAGAATGTGAATCAATCTAGATAAGATCCAGTACCAAGAAAATGAAAAGTATGAAAGTTTGAACGTTTTATGTCGGTCGAAAACCAAGAATAATATAGTGAATTCGTTTAGATTGAAGAATACGTACCATTTCTTGTAGCACTGATGGAGAACTTAAAGAAAACTGTAATCTTGCCTCAGTAATAACTAACAAGTGCAAATAAATCAATACATCTATGCTAGTTCATTACAAAGATATCGAATATTATAAGTACAAAGTGTTTATTGTACTTTGAATTTTTGATTGTTTTATGTTGCTTAAGTGAGATCTGTTGCCATAACTGATTCCTAGTAGGTGAATCGAAAATGTCTCTTCACACAGAAATTGCTCGAGATAGGTCTTTTGGTATCCCTGATCCACATACTGTAACTGAACTGTCAAACTATGTAAATTTACAATTTCGTTCATAATATTTCAGATGCAAAATATTTTCCAACAAATGCAAGAAACATTGCAGCAAACAAGTGAAAAAATAACCACAAGGAATATCCTTTTTCTCTCCATTGGAGTTGTCTGCTTTAACTAGTATTTGATCTTAGATAGCTTTTGTTATTCATCGTTTCTAGCTTTCGTCTAAAAGCTTAATCATGAATCAATAATATCATTCATCTTCCGCAAATTTTAATTTGCTGAAATGTGTAGTACACTGTAAGTTATACTTCAGTATGCGTAATAGAGGTCTGATGATGAAAAAAATTTGTACATGTGACTCTGATTGCCAGTTGACGTGCATAAAAATAGATAAGTATTTCTATTGGCCATACAAACAGTTTCATTTGGGCTGCCATACGTCAGCAACGTAAACCTGGCACATATACACACACGTTCATGCTAAGAACTATATCAAAAAAGAAAGTATCGAGACATATATCAGGAGGATGCGAGTATAATTTAAAATAGTAACATCATCCTTGTTAGTATGAAAGACCAAACATAAACAGTTCGATTCGCGAACGAATTTACAAGATAGAATAGTATATTGATGATCATAAAGTTCGAAATGTAAGACGATAACAGAATATTGTCCCAGAACAGTTGTGATGAACTCTGAGTTATGTAATATGACATTCCTAAAAACTGATCATGAGAGTCTCGGAAACTCCAACCAGGTAGTCCATACTTGCGAACATGGCTCGGTCTAGAAGACGATGACTTCATCGAGTGGTAGAATATCCTGTTTTAGCTGCTCTTAGCTGTGTCGCAACTTACCTCCATACCAGTCAAATAAAGTGCTAAAAACAACTGATTCGAAGTCTGATCATGTAGTGTCTTTGACTATATTTTAAGACCGTCTTGATAAATCAAATTTAGAAGCCTGTACTCTTTTGCATGGTATTCTACAAGAACATGTAAGAGCATTAGTTCACCCTACTATGCTTATTTTTCATTCTCCAATTACTTTCTTATATAGCAACTTTATCCACTTGTTGAAAGTATGATAACGTGAACCCATAGACGTATCTTACTAGTTCGCTAATGATTGACACTCTTCCTTAACCACAGCTTTCTACTTGAAGAAATGGGTCGAAAATAGATTCGCTGGAGAAAAATGTTGCAGATCTCATGACACAAGCTGGAGTTCATGAAGGCTAACCCTTCAACATTAACAACTTATTATATGATGATTTCTAATATACTTATGTAACCGAAAATGATGATATATTCAACCACTTTTTTTCAAATAATCGAGGTCAGAACAGCTAGTAACTGTATAGCCAATCACTTTTGACAGAATACTACGAGTAATCAATTATAACCACTCATCGAATAGTTAAAAGATGAGATCATTAATGGGGAAAATACGGTCCGATAGCGTACACATAGTCAACTTCAACTTATTAGAACGGTTTAAACTGGCATGATGTTCGAAAATAAAGTGACAGATAAAATACAGAGATAACTAGATGACATTCGACCAATTATTCATCGATTCGCAATGGACACATAGGATAATAAAATGATTAGAGTATGATTAATACAGCTTCTTATGGTTTAGGATAAATTTAATGTAGTAAAAACCCCCTCAGAATGACCCGTAATGCATTGCGAAAAGAGAATGTGAACACTTTCTAATACCTTTTGTGATTAGCATTTGTTGAATTTCACGTAGGGAAGAGCGGTCTCGCTTTGGAACTTTAGAATGCCGTGGGGGAATTTCTCTCGAATATATATATGACGTTGAGTAACTAACTAAGCAGATGACAATTTCTACCTGAATATACCCTAATGAAATTTAAGTTTTAAACGCCTTTTAGGATAAGGCAAGTAGATACGGACCACAAAATTTGAATTCGGTAGTGCATCAACCACTTTTTGAGCTAATGAAAAACTTTGCCGAGGACCTGGGTTTGTAGTATTTCCATGGTTTTTAAAGTTATATGGGAACACCAGGGTGGAAGCATCCATCTGTGAGGCACTGGCATAGTTAGAAAAGTGACAGGTAATTGTGATCAACATCAAGAGATGTTTCATTACCCATTCTTTTCTGTTATGGTCAATCACTTCAAACCTGTTATCGTTGGACACCACAAAGGCTTAGAGATACATGTAGATGAGTCACCAAAGGTCTACTCGGTAGTGATTCACTTTAGTTAACGCACAATTGCTTTATATCTCGTCATAACATCGAAAAACAGCTGTCACCATGTAAATACGCATATAGTTATTCCCTTCACTATACTCAAACACGCACTGCTGGCATTACTAAAATGTAGTTGCTAATGAATGAGATCAAGATGTGATGCAAGACCGAATATCTTCATGCTTCATAAATATACAGCAGGCTATCTTGCGATGCAACAGTTTACACCTGATTTTATGGTTAGATAGGTAGTCAGGAAACTGAACTGTTTTTGTAGTTACGTGGATTTATAATCTATGTTATATGAATTAGGACGGTATTTAGGATGGAAATAATAGACAATATGCTGGTTATTACCATGTGCATTATATTGGCCACTTGTGAAGGTTGAGAAAACCACTTCATTGGTTTGCCATATCTCTGGACCATACAGCAATTTATCCGAATATAACCCTCGTGATTTAGAGGGGCAGGGCTGAAGGGGTCCTGAACAAACACACGTCAAGTATTGTGAAGAAATAACGAGAAATAGTTGGACATTGGTAGTCAAAAAGATTCACAGAGCTGGTACCGTTTGCCGCGTCCAGAAAATACAAACGGAAGAGGTAGTAGTTATAACTGTATTTTAAATGTATAGTGATACAAAGCACTGCTCAAAAAGATCGGACATTATTTTTAATGAAGACCAAAACATATTTTATATACGGTACAAAAGGGAAGCATGTATTTACACTGTAAAAGAAAATATGTACGAATCTGAAACTGTTTGAAGCGAATAGAGAATAGGCTTGGTGTAGCCATTATCTATTGTAATGGTCCGTTGAATGTTGAGTAATGAGTCAAAAGGACAATCCTGCTTGATTACAATTATATGTTTTTCTCGGTATAACTGCGCGAGTTAGAATGAGAGGTTTGGTGAAAGCAGTATGAGTAGGAGTGACTGGCACCTCTAAAAACAAAACAACATTAACGTCAATTAACCACTTATCACGTTTTATACAAGATATGATAGTGAAATGAAAATATTTAAGCATGGTGACAATGGCAAAAGTACTTTGGAAAATGGAAATTCTAAACCAAGTAATTTTTAAGAAATATCAGATTATATTTGCAGTCAATCTATCCAAATATTTAGGAACGCTTATCAATAATGTACAATTTGACATATTTTTACTTATTTAAACCTCAAACTCGACATAACGTGGAGACCAAAGGATGCAGTAATGGCATTATTATTTTGATTTGAACACAAGGGGGCACCAGATACATATGCGCCACACATCTCGTTATATGATGGTTAACATACAAAAAGGACCGATTTACAAATAACCACATGTAAATATGTATTTTTGTGAATTACTTATAGTAAAAATAATGTCGGCTCAAAAAATGTTTCTCAAAAAGTGTTTGACGTATTGCTTTTTGTCTCAGACCAAGTGGTTTGCGTTAGAATATAGATACTAACTGATCATCTAGTTATAATTTTGTGATAATGTTCAGTTTTCTTGCTTGTGATTAACATCATAATGACTATGTTGTTTTTTGAACCGGCTAATCGTCACGTGACTTATTTGCCAATCGGGACATGACTTATAAAATCACAGCTCTGCAACAAACCAGTGACGTACCGACCGGTATGAGCGGCCTAGCATACCTATCGGTCATTTTCTTCCTAGCCCTGCCAGTTGAGTTCAGAACACCAATACCAGCTTCCACTATACGAATAATTTATTTCAAACAAACCTGGTTTATATACAAGACAAGAGGACCACATCACACTACAAAATAGGAAACAATATTTGTATAAGATCAAGACAAAAAGTGACTGTGATTGCGGGGACTATAATCAATAAACTGGGCATAACTTAAGATCAGGAAATTGTATATTAATAGTCTATAAGTCAAAATAAGCTTATAATAAGAGGGATATTAATATACATCCATACGTCCATAAATAGATCGCAGAAGTTACCTATAATTTGATCGTCAGTAGGATATAACACACTGAACGACAATGATAGTGAATTATAGATCCTATTTAGTTCGTATACACTCTACCGACAAACTACGTTCGTACAACGTAGATAATAAAAGTATAAATAAGCATTATATTTGGGGTACCTATATTTTAGATATGCTGAAGTTGGATGGTAGATAAGCAAATGAAAGATACATAGTGTATAAAGCATTGAAGTTCGGTAATACACCGACTCAGAGAGTAACAAGGTGACCGATTTTTTATAAGTCATGAAGGAAATGGACAAACACACGTGTATAAAACATGTCCAGGGATACACGTAACAAAACAGGGGCAAATACAGAGATGAAAATATGTGGGAATATTAGAACTTATATGTCCAAATGTTAAAATAAATCACGGTGTGTAACAATAATAAGTGCGTCGTCTGGTCACCTGAACTTATTTAGCCAAGATAAATATCCTAATCTAAAAAAAAATATAGTGCAATTTTACCTAATAATTAACTAGAATTTCTGAGGAACCCGAAGTGACCAGTTCATTATTAGCTAAAAATGTTTTTATTAGTTCACGAAGATATGGTTTGTTCCTTACTAGACTATGATTACGAATTAAAATAAAAGAATAATAACTGATTTTAAATGGCCAATTTTAGTACAGAATAGTATCACAAGGCTGACAGTGTGTAATAGTAGTATTGTGGTGTATGCTACTTATGCCAACAGACATAAATAGTATGTAACACCAAACAGAAGTTGAATGCCTGTAAAAAAAAGGTTGAGAAGATTACACTGAAGAATACGGAAAGGGAAACTTGAAGTAATTGAGAAAAGAATGATTTATGCATCGATGTTTATAATTAGGGGCACTAGGTTCACTGAGTGAACTGCTTGAAGATAATTCAATTAATGACAAAACTTACACTTTATAGCAGTGAAGACATACGCGAAATTACGAAGTTGAATTAATCCTTTTATTATTATCTACGTTACCTAAACATTGAGTAGTTAATCATTAATAAAACCTAGTGAAGTAGAACTTATTAAAACACAAAATACAAACAAGTTTTGACCTCTCAACCGCTATACTGAAGAATGAGAATACAATTTACAAAACGGACAGATGAAGGACGATGTATTGGGACAGTCTGAAACTGATCAAACCGGACAAGAGTATGCGATCGATCAAGAAACAGAGTTCTATTTCTAAGGGAAGAGAGATACACTATTGATGGCTTAATTTTCTAGGTGATAATATATTATGTATATATGAATGAGTAAACAAACATTAACGATTTAGCTTAGTCAATGGACTTCCTCTCCACTTTCAATCATTTCACTCACGAGGTGATAGGGCTCGTGTTTAGTGAGATTGGGTATCACTATTAGAATCGGACACTGCACTACAACACAAAATTAGCATTTATTTTCGTTACTGAATAGAAAACGTTAGTTCATACATCAATAGTGAGGTTTCCAGTAGGTTAGCTAAACGAGTTTGCTATTTCATCTGCATCACAGTGCAAATGAAGAAAATGCCTATCTCAAAAATCAAACATAAATTTGACAACAACTAAGTAAGAAACTGCGCTGAAACAGTAGTTCTTGTGAGATAAGAATTCTCTGTTATTGATTGCATGTTGTAATAGTAGCTCGACAACTCAAAACGTATATATATATATATATATATATATATATATATAACTCACTTGCTTCAAGTCAAAACCAGTTAGATAATAAAAGCCAAAGATTAATTACATGGAGAATAAAGTGAATTATCTGATGAATTTGAGCAGTCCGTCTGAAAGATTTTCAAAAAGTACGGAAATAAAAGCATAAAATCAAACCAGAAAATTAACAAAAAATGATTGAATCCTGTTTCCCTCATACAACACAGTACAGCATTCCAGATATATGTACCTGTTCCCATATGTCATTCCAAGGTCAAGCACTAGGTTAAGGTGAGGAACAAAGTACGCTATTGAATGAAGTGAGTCATAAACAAATAACAGATCTTAGCTGAAGCATTTAATGAACAGATATATATATATATATCACTGAGTTGTGCAGACGTATATTTCTCTTACTGACTACAACTTCCTAGTTTTCCACCACTCACATACCGGGTTGGTCTCGCGTAGAGAGAGCATAGAGTCCCTGTATCTGAATCGGATGGTTGCAGAGGGCAATATTTTGATACCTTACTCATGATAGTTGCTGAAGTAGGCAACTCAGTCGCTATAAGTTGGTCGAAAAGTTAAATTTTTCAAATTTTAACACAGTGATAAAACTAAAAGGCAGTGGTGGTGTGGGTGGTGAGATCAATTCTCTTATAGTGAAAGCCAGAGCGGCCTATGCCAATCTGGACCATCTTTGGAGCCTTCGTGATGTTAGTATGGCTGTAAAGGGTCTGATCTACAACGCATCGGTAAGAACAGTTTCGCTCTATGCTTGTGAAACCTGGCCTCTTCGAGTTGAGGATGTTAGACGACTCTGTGTTTGGTTATCATTGTCTCCGAAGGATTGCTGACATCCAGTGGCAACACCATGTTAGTAATGCAGAGGTTCGGCATCGTGTGTTCGGGAACAGAGTTGATAATTCAATTGGTGTCACTATCTTGAAACATCGAATTCGGTAGCTCGTACATGTCTTACGACTGCTTTCCCAGCGATTTCTACATCGTGCATCATTTGTCCACGCTGAGACCGGTTGGAAAAAGCAGAGAGGTGACAAGTATATGATAGGGTGTTGTGGTATGAAAGAAAGATGTACAGGACTAGCTTCTGTAGGTCCTTTGAGACTTCCTGGTTAACATCTTAAAGATGGTACAACAAAGCGACTCCGAATTTTATCAGATATGGTTCAGAATAGAAGCCAGTGGTGATCATTCGCTGAGATTTTACAAATATATTCTTCTTTTTAATGTCTCAAATTAACTCGGCGCCCAAATATTGTGAAACTATCAGTGATGATCCTGTTGTAACTCTTTTTGCCTTTCCTTAAGAAAGTGAACTCAACTTGTTTAACCGGAGCATTTCTTTCTGTTTGTATACTTCCTGACTAAACTGGTTCCCCATTTATTACCATTATCTCACTCACACCAATCTTTGTTCGCTGTTGTTCTTCTTTTTATCATACTCAGTATACATTCTGTCACTACAAACTTATTGTTATTGTGTGGTGCATATCTATTTGGTGCCCCTTTGTACCAACGTTTGTGTGTTCAAATAAATAAATAACAGTCAGTCAGTCAATCATAATCAGTGTACAGCATGACGTAAATGTGAGTTAGCACAAGTAACCATGGAACACCAACACAGAGATGAATTTAACAAAATAAATGTAAAAATACTCGAAATAATGTAACTATTAGTCATGAGTATAAAAATGATGCATTGAAGAAACTATTCTAAACAACAGAATGTGAAGGTATGGATGGAGGGAAACTAAAACTCAAGAGTTAGAGTAAGATGATAAGGAAATGTATCTGTGGCAGTGTGATCGGTTTAGTTATCTCAATGAAAATACTGTTCGAAGTCATTCTGTGAAACCCAATCAGGTAGCCTTCACCTATCAACACGGTTTAAAGCAACAGTAAATGTCTTCAGAAACTGATTTAACGTTTCAGTTAAGCCAACTCCAACATTCTTTAAAACCTACTCCTAGACTCATGTCAACACCGCCCGTCCAGGTAGGTATTTATAACACGAATTTAATAAGCTTGCTAATGAAGATTTCCATACTGTTTTAGTCACACTGTGGTGTATTCTACTGATGTTGATAGATATAAGAAGTATGTATCATCAATCGAAAATGAAATACCTGGCAGCAGAAGGTTTAAAAGATAGAACAGAGAACGAGAAAAGTGAATGATTGCTGTGGAAATGAAGGAACAGTGAAGTTTGTGACAATTGATTGACATTTTGCAAATTAAGTATTTACTGTAGGGTTCTTAATTTACTAAGATGCTCTGTAATTTTGTATTCAGATACATCCGATTGTCCCAGTCGTGTTCTCGTTTACTAAAACACGTTTAAAATATCCAACTACCTAAACAAAACGACATGGGTCATATTTGTACTTACCTTCCAGTGGCAACTGTAATTCAAATACTTCAATCAATGTGTGATTTGACCACGATACAAATACAATGATTACAACACAGTCATCACATCAATAAACTTAGATCATTAAAAGAAATGCATGATATATACTCAAGTTATATTCAACTAGATAATGATAATACGGTTTAATCAATAATATTACGTAAAAGTAAACTGCAGAAAAACAGTACCAAGAGAAAACGAATTAATTAGAAACGTTCCCAATGTGGGTTTAATTTTCAGCAAATAGATTTTATTTCATGCAGCAGGATTTACCCGCAGTTATCTGTTATAAACATATCAGTGTATGTAACATTGAAGGGTTTGAAAATGGCAGTCCCAATGAAGATACCCTTGTGTATGCAGTACAGAAGGCGACTCAAATGAGTTGAAATAAGAGATGAAATTGCTAAATATAACAGACCTACTTACAGAACATTGGAAACGTTGTAGCGAAAGTCGTTGAAAACATTCATTTAAGAAGGCGATTCAGAGATTTCACTTAAGCTGTACAATCGTATTTGTAATTAATTTGTACAGCTTAAATAAATGAAATCGTCGAAAAAAACCTCTTCGTTGAAATGTTTTTTTTCTTAAATGAGTGCTTTTCACAACATTTTATGGCCCTTGATTTGACTGCAATTTGGATGAAAGTATGAGTATGCTATGAACATAAATCTGCCGTTTAACTAAGTATATTATCTAGGCTAACCCCGTTTGTATGACGGCGGTAATAAGAAGCCATATATGGATTACGTTGGATGAATTTATTTCAAACACTCGTTTATCCGGGGATGAGAAGGCGAGTGAGCCAACTCATCTTTGGCAAAGCGTAACTCAATATTTACAGCCGGGCAGAACTAGGCCAAAGACATGCCATGAATAGGATAAGCGCTGTACACACACGCTCATATAAACAGTAAGCTTAATGAGCGAATAATTAACAAGGTCAAAACGTGACTCAAGAAAAATGAATAAATTGGTCTGCCCAGAAGCTTGACATAGTACTAAACTGTTTTGCCACAACGTCCTTAATGTTCAGTAAATAGGTCTGTTATATTTAGCAATTTCAGCCATTTTTCCAACTCATTGAGTCGCCTTCTGTGCTGCATACACTAGAGTATTATCTTCATTGGGACTTCCATTTTTAAGACATTCGATGTTACATACACTGATATGTTCATAGCATATGTTCCTCGCTGAATTGCCTTCTTCAATGATCTCATTTTAATCTAGATTAATGTATGGGTACTGCTGACGAGTCCCATACTGGGACGAAACAGCCATCTAGTGTTTACAGGTTATCAAGGGTGATCCAACAACGATCGATTCATGATCTCAATCAAAAATATACAATTAGTTATAACTTTAAATTAGCATAAAGTAGTGTTCAACATGGCCGCCTAACATTATCATCACTATTGATCCTTATCTTGTCAATAGATTTATGACATTATGCAGAAACAGAGTTGACTTGCAAAAATATTAACCCTGTTTACTTGAAAAGTAGAAAACTACGTTTTATTTCAACTAAAGAACCTACGAAAATAAGAGAAGACAGCTTTTTATATATTAAAAGTGTTGCTATAACGACAGTTATGTGAGAGACAAATGGAAAGATATGGTAGTAAATATCGTACATAAAAGAATTCATCATATATATATATATATATATATATATATATATATATATATATATATATATATAGAGAGAGAGAGAGAGAGAGAGAAAGTAGACTACAAAATAAGAGTTAGAAAAAGGTTAACTGAATAGTTAGTTAAAATCAATAAAGGGGATCAAGAACTACAAAACCTTGTATTATCAGTGTCCTCTTGATTGATTATTATTTGTAATGGTTATTATATGATTATTATATGTGATGGATAGACTTAAAAAAGCATTCAAATCAGTACATCGCCTGTGCATATATACATATGGGTAAATGAATACAATGTATTCTATGGATTTGATAAGCGAGGTAGAAAGTAGTGTAAGAATTATTATTTTATTGTCAAAAAGGACGGATTGTAGCAAGCGATCGTTTTCAGGTCGACAGTCTCGTCTGTTTTGGTCTACACAGATCTCAGTGCTGATGTTTACACTAAGATTCGCCAGTGTTATTCACTGAATTCAGATAGCCACTGACGTATTTAATGGGTAAGATGTTTACATCACTTAGTAGTAAGGATTTGAATTATTCTGGTGTTAATATTTAGGACTGTATGTTGATCAGTCTGTTGATCATACCAAGTCAATTCGTATGCAATTCACAAATGCCAACGAAGATTAATCGAAATATATCATTGAATATTACCAAGATAGTTTAAACACTTGCTAATAATGATACAGAAGGTTTAACTGTTAATAAATAAGAATACATTATTTTAACTATAATTGAAATCAGTATGATCAGTACTGAACAGCTTATCTCCACGGATATATCTATCATTATTTTCAGTTTCTAAAAGGACTTCAATCATTTAATCAAAATTACATACATATAGTTGAGTCAGCAGAGAGCATACAATAGTATAAGCATAGGAACACTAGTGTTTTCTCTAACAAAGTGTCATTCGGATAAATAAAAATAACGAAACAAAATGCATATTCCTTGAATTACACCTTAATGTGAATGAATTTTAGTGTCATTAGTTCCCATCTAACTAACAGATAGATTGTTTTACGCCTTAAAGTTATTTCCAAAAAGTACATTCACTTGGCTCTAAATGTGTAAGCTGAAGGGTTTTGATTATAAATGTCTTTGAAGCATTAGTCATTTATCTAGCATAGAGTGCTAGGTGAAGGTGGGGAATCGATTGATGAGGTTGTGAATCACCATCGACTGAGGTGCTTAGGGGATGAATTACATATGCTCAACCACCGCTAACTTCCACGGGGGGCTTTAAGCCAGTGTAGAAGCAAATAAGACAAAAAATAGAGGCACCCAAATCAAGATGTACCATTAGTCCATAAATTTATAGACTCTTGGTTAGAACCGTGTAAGAGCAGATTACCTGTTTGTAGTTGACATGATGACAGCGACCAGTGGTCAAAGTTGCATGGCTCAGAATCGGTCTTAGGGGCACAGATGCATTAACTTCTGATCATACTCTAGATCTTGAATTCTAGTATCCCTTTATGCATAACTTTCCACTGTCACTTCAAACCATATTCACGTTTAGTCTTCCTCAAAATCATTGCTCTTAGACTGTCTTTCGATTCGTTTGTTATTTACCTCGTCGTCCCAATGTAGTATGCCAGTTTGAGCCGATGCGTATTCCGTACTAGACTCTATATTGATTATGAATGACTAATTATCTGCTAAATCCATGTGAATTTTCTTTATAACAACATTACTGAATGATTGTCTCTCTGACAAACTGAATACTTTAGAAATAGTGATGTCTGCTCATAGCGTACCAAACTATAAGATGAAAATTAACGTGCAGAATTTTTGTTTAGCTTTTAAAATCCAGAAATGTAATAATGATCAGACAACAGCAATAAATCACACAAAATTCATCTAACAAAATCAGTATGTTGCTTGTTTAAGCTGGTTTTTTTGTTTTTCACTGAGTGGACGAAAATGAATAGGTAGAAAGAAAACTACAATTTGATAATGATCAAGTATTTCACAAAACGACATCAGTTTCCCTTCACAATGAGCAATCACTGTAACGTAATCGAATTCAACGTTTTAACTTGTGATTAAAACTAAAGTAATTGGTCAACGCTCTAAGAATATTTTAGTTTTCTATACAGACGAACACTGTCCAATGCATAAAATAGATGAGATGTAGCTGGCAGTGCAATCCGGAACGTGTGTTCAGTTGTACTAGGGACTTGTTAGCTGAATGTACCTGCATTCCGGCTGAATTATCCTATGTAGATAAAGCCGTGGTCAGTTAAAATAGTTTAAACTATTTGTGAACTTCAAAAATGTCAACACATGAAGTTCACATATTATCTTTCATCTTCATACATAAAAACTCACTTGCTTCAAGTCAAAACCAGTTAGATAATAAAAGCCAAAGATTAATTACATGGAGAATAAAGTGAATTATCTGATGAATTTGAGCAGTCCGTCTGAAAGATTTTCAAAAAGTACGGAAATAAAAGCATAAAATCAAACCAGAAAATTAACAAAAAATGATTGAATCCTGTTTCCCTCATACAACACAGTACAGCATTCCAGATATATGTACCTGTTCCCATATGTCATTCCAAGGTCAAGCATTAGGTTAAAGGTGAGGAACAAAGTACGCTATTGAATGAAGTGAGTCATAAACAAATAACAGATCTTAGCTGAAGCATTTAATGAACAGATATATATATATATCACTGAGTTGTGCAGACGTATATTTCTCTTACTGACTACAACTTCCTAGTTTTCCACCACTCACATACCGGGTTGGTCTCGCGTAGAGAGAGCATAGAGTCCCTGTATCTGAATCGGATGGTTGCAGAGGGCAATATTTTGATACCTTACTCATGATAGTTGCTGAAGTAGGCAACTCAGTCGCTATAAGTTGGTCGAAAAGTTAAATTTTTCAAATTTTAACACAGTGATAAAACTAAAAGGCAGTGGTGGTGTGGGTGGTGAGATCAATTCTCTTATAGTGAAAGCCAGAGCGGCCTATGCCAATCTGGACCATCTTTGGAGCCTTCGTGATGTTAGTATGGCTGTAAAGGGTCTGATCTACAACGCATCGGTAAGAACAGTTTCGCTCTATGCTTGTGAAACCTGGCCTCTTCGAGTTGAGGATGTTAGACGACTCTGTGTTTGGTTATCATTGTCTCCGAAGGATTGCTGACATCCAGTGGCAACACCATGTTAGTAATGCAGAGGTTCGGCATCGTGTGTTCGGGAACAGAGTTGATAATTCAATTGGTGTCACTATCTTGAAACATCGAATTCGGTAGCTCGTACATGTCTTACGACTGCTTTCCCAGCGATTTCTACATCGTGCATCATTTGTCCACGCTGAGACCGGTTGGAAAAAGCAGAGAGGTGACAAGTATATGATAGGGTGTTGTGGTATGAAAGAAAGATGTACAGGACTAGCTTCTGTAGGTCCTTTGAGACTTCCTGGTTAACATCTTAGAGATGGTGCAACATTTATCTATTTGAACACATAAATCTTGGTACAAGAGAGCACCAAATATTTATGCGCCACACGATGGTACAACACGGTTGTGTCGATGGAAAGAAAGTTATTGCTTCTCGCAATTTCAAGTTGACAACCACTTGTTTACGGTTAGAACAAACGTCACATATACAAACGCTGATATGTCCATAAATATAACCTGAACAATCAGCACAATTAGTCATAACTATAGTCTGAAAGCACAGAGATTTTAGAGCTCTTATTTGGACAATGACTGAATACACGTTCGAAATATTTATCTATCACTTTAAGTATACAAACAAACTTCCTACCTAATTAATTTATGGGAAGAATGTAAAGATTAAAATCAGTACTAGTTATAATTCATCAAATCCTATGATAAGAAATTGCTACATACTTTATTTTTCTTTGAAATTTGAATACTGGATCCCTTCAATAATAAAGGAACATTATGTTTGTCAAAGTGTACTTCATTTTTCCCACCAAGTTCCGGATTCGAACTGGTTAAATCCAAAATTTTCAGTTTGTCCAAATTATAACTTGAGAATAAAATATCCTACGTAAAGCGAAGATGGAATAAATAATATAAGAACAATAAAGGCGTATCATGGAACGATACAAAAAGAAAAAACATTGAATTCCTACTACCACTAAAGTAATGAGAATAAAAGTAGGATGATGTTAGTTACTATATTTTATTAGTAATAACATGATGCTGATGGAGGATCATTTACCAAAATGTTTTTACAAAAATGTAAATGATTGATAATAATATAAAAGCCTGAATCCTTTAGTTGTGTAGACAACATCCCCGTGTGTTTTAATACTACATAAGCATTTAAAAACAAATTAAGTCGTTTGATTTGCCACTAATCTAAGCATTCTACTTTCGATTTAACTATCAAATGTGCAGTTAGTTTTTCTTGTTTAGCACATTTTATTCACTTTACTCAAATTATATATAATCAGAATGAAAATATGTTTGAAATAGAAAAGCATTTCAAAAAATATTTAGAACAACAACGTGGAGAAACACGAAGATTCATATAAAATTTATGTACGAAACTCCTTCTTGCTTCATCCACTAGTACTGATTAGTTAAAAATAGATCAGCTAACGTATTCGGATTCTGTTTTGCACGATTTTATCCTTAAGACACGTACACATTTTGTTTAATTACTTCAATTCGTATAAGAAAATGTATCCAGCTATTAAGACACTCGGGCCGCAAACTTATACGAATCTGGCAATTTGATAGCTTTATGGGAGAGAAAATAAAGAATCTTTCTATTAAGATTGACAATATTTTAAAACAATACATCACTTGGTTATTTTGTAATATTGAATGGTAATAGCATAACATTTCAAGGACGACCAGGATTACATTATTATTAATAATAAAAAACTAACTTCCTATCAAGGTGATACTGATTAATTAATCTTGTGTTTTTCTAATCCTCAAATGTTGATCGAATTCTACCGATCAAGATGTGATACGGTTACTCTAGTTGGTTCAAAATCGTATAGATCGTTTGGATGAGAAATGACAGGGAGTAAGTTCTGGACCTAAAGGAGATCAGTTGTGGTCCCGATAGCTGAATGGTAACATATCTTACTGTATCACTACTGAGAGAAGTATCTCCGAACCGCGTGGATATAATCAGCATCCTCGAGAGTGTAATACGCCCTGATGGAAAGTTTCAACCAGCACGTAATTCAGGTCTCCAGTTATATTAGAGAAACTAGTCAGGAAATTTAGTAATTTTGTGAGAGCTTTTGAATAACTTTTAATCGGGTATTGAATGATGTTGTAGACTTTATTTTTCGAGAATAATTCTCAATAGCTATTCGAGATCGAGACGCCCTGCAAAGCTGTTTAGGTTATTAGCTTGAATAACAATTTCCTCATTAGTCACAACCTATCATGAGTTACGCCAAGCTGACACATCACTATTTGACCAGTCAAAAAGATGACTCCAGAATGATAACTAAGAAATCTATAAACTAAGTGACGATGACATGAAAAAGCACAACAAACAATCGGCAATAAAATTATAAGACACGGACCTAACACTAGAGACTGAAAAAAATTAGAACTAAGATAAACGCATTACTCATGAGACAATAAAACATGATGAACTCCAAAATATAACAAAGCAATGGACATTCTGAATTATTTTATTTTAAATAATTACTTGACCATAAATATTAACTAAAAATAGGCTTACACCACAGGATGATAGGGTTAGAGAGTGGATTTGACGAGACTATCTAATGTCATTTGTGACTGACTCATTCATTTTTGGCATGGTTAATTTCACAGATATAGTTAATGTTAACTAATAAATCTACCTTCACATGAAACAAGCCTCTACAAACCCTATGTATAAATAAACTTCTAATCGTTCAGATTATTCCGTTGTTGATATTATAACTGAAATTCGATCAGTTATGGTTGGCATATATGCATCATGTGCAGATGGCTTCGATATCGGCAGTTATGACACAGACTTATATAGAATAGATGGAATGTAACTAGCAAAAGAATTCAGGACGCGCATTTTTATCCCGGATTATTGATCAACTCCGGGATTCAGATACACCGAGATAAAGAGTTTTAAATAGGATGAAACGCGTGTCTGAATTCCATTACTAACTACATTCCATCTATTCCATATAAACATGTATATAGAAACATTATTATATCACAAACTAACCTCCATAATCAACTCTTTCCCCTTTAATAAAGACTTACAACCAGCCAAAGAAGATTTCACATCAGTTAATTGACTTTTTATTAGTTCCACTTCATTATATTCATTATCTCCATCAATAGACGTTGGGAGGTCTAGTAAATATAATAAGCACGTAAAATAAATAAAGCTAGACATATACAGAGAAAAGACTTAAGTATATAGTCTAGCAGACAATAAACAATATAAGTAATTAATGAATAACTGTATTATAAGAATCAAAGAAATAACGAAAGACTGATGTTTACCAAGTAACTGAGGGTGTAAATGCGTGGGCCACGTTTATAGTATGGAAGCGAATTATCCTAATCAGAAAACGGGCAAAAAGTCTTGATAAGTGAGGTCAAACAATAACACTGTAACCTGACAACTGAATGATTAAACATTAGGATCACAAATACATTTGTATTATAATATAGATGACGAGTAGGAATACTTATTTGAAAGGAATGCTCGATCAGATAAAATTACGTTTTAAGTAATGACAAATGCCAAAATTATATATATCGCATCACAGATTAATATTAATTAGACAACCATTGAAAAACACAAATCCCCGGATAGTTGTTTCGTTCCAGTGTGAAACTTCCTCGGTGACTTCAGTAATACAAAATCGAAGTATTCACACATACCTGAATATCCTGGGTCTGATACCCGGTGGGGTCGTGGATGCGCACTCCCGAGGAGTCCCATACTAGGATGAAACGGTCGTTCAGTGCTTCCAGGTTTTCCATGGTGGTCTAGCTTTAATTGAATTATGAATTCAAATATTAAATTACTAAAATCTCCACAAAACCCGCTTTTGGTAATGTTAGTTCATGATATACACTACAAAATTCTGCAGTCTTCACAAGTCTTCTATTATAATATAGGGATATTATTGATGTGATGACATTTGGCGGGCTGCTAAAAAAAGTGAAATAGATTTCATTTAAAATATTAGGAAAACATGATAAACGAACCTAATACAAAAGTTTGTGAATTTACAACATTTTCTGTTACATTTCTCTCTGTTGTTACTCTTGTTTTTGTCGTATAGTGTTTGGCTAAACATTTTAATTTACACCAAAGACATCGAGATACATAGCGTACGCGTCTGGTAAGATCATCACGAATTACTGCATACGGTAATTCAATTAAAAGATTATTAACAAGAGCTGATTTTCTACCATTTTCTTTAGACATGGCAATAGTTGAATAATCTTCGTCGGATGATTCTCGTCTAAAATACTCATCGCCGTCGTCTTCTTCGTCATCAAGTGAAAAGAATTCATCATCGAATTCATTGGAATGAAGTACATTATCATTATTTTGTACCCATGTAGTACAATGTCGTTGGAGAAAATCAGTGAATCGAACCATTCTTAAAGAGAGTTGACTGACAAGATCTCGAAGTTCACGATTCTCATAAAGTAAGTCATTTTGGCGACTTTCCAGTTGTTGAACTATTAATGATGATAAATCAGCCTATAAGTAAAAGGATTGAATACTTAAACAGAGCTGGATAACTCAAAAAATGCTATAAAAATTAATACTAATTTTAATAGTTGAGATCATGAGTCAATTAAAGCTAGACCAGCATGGAAAAACCTGGAAGCACTGGACGGCCGTTTCGTCCTATTGCGAGACTCCTCAGCAGTATTAACATTAAGGTGAGTTGCATGACAGTTGAGTTAATTTCTAAACATTAAGATATATATCTCGATACCACGTCACATATAACAACTCGTCAGCGAACCAGATTAAGATGGATCTTGTATTTTAGTACTGTTCTTTTTTAACATACCACTCATGGTGAAAGAATGAAAAAAAAAAGCTGAAAAAAATCTTATCAAGTAACCGGGGATGAGTTCATGAACTAGATGTTAATAGTTCAGAGGTCATAGATCCGACAAAAAGGTCAGATTGATCTGAAAAGATAACGCAAATTTTACGAATTGGAAGTCTGGATCATTGGGTCAAATCTCTACATTAAATCAAGAGTCTAAATACCTCATTACATAATCGTTGTTAAAAATCAAAGTTGTCCAAAATTCAGGACGAAGACCTTGAATTGTACGTCTTTTAAGAGTGAACAAGATAAGAAATGCACAAATGATAAATAGCTTCGTAAACTTTTAGCACGAAATCTAAAATAGAAATCAAAATTTGCCCCAAAACTTATCAAATTTTTTTTCCATCTTTTTCAAAATATGCGATGATTATTCTTGATATATTTTCTATGTCTAGAACTGGCTTAATAAACTTGAGGCTTGTGTCTTAATCGTTGTGTCTGAAATGTAAATTAATTTCGAATAATTTTCTTTCACAATCAGGAACGAAAGATTACATACAGTTAGTAAGTGGCATGAAGGAACTCAACCTCATTATCACAAAACAAAGGCCTAGACAAGATATGAAAAAAGGTACATACATATACGTCCTCACCATCAACAATGATAATACATTTAGAACACTGAGTTAGAATTCCTGGCATTTTGAAGCTTCCCAATTTATTCGTTCGCAAGTGTGATTATTACTCTCCATCTGAAGGCGGCCTGCTTGAATATCTGGGCTATCTGTTCCTACCGTCTGAATATTTAGACAAGCCATCTGTTTTTGTTTGTTTTAACACATCACTATGTCTATTAGCTGCAAAACCTATTCAGGGCGTTTATGAAAATTTTGCAACCTTTCGCTGTACAGGTTATCAAAAAGTACAATCAGCGACACCGTGGTGGCTGGCAGTATGTATTGAAAATAATAAACATTATTCAGATGTCAATTCCTGGACTGCTCATATCCAACTGGCGATCACTCAATATTTATCATCAGAATCAATCAAGAAATAAGAAAAGGTAACTTGTTGAAATACTTCGTGCTGAGAATAATATATTGTCCCAACAATACATTGAATAAAGCCATTAATAATAATAATAATTAATATGCATGTGGAGCTAATCCGTGTCGGATAGAGACAGGTATCTACCTCAGTACAATGGAAGATGGTCGCGCGATTTCGTGGATTGGTTGAGGGTTAGACACTAACACCGTTGGGTGCCGACTCAGTGGTCTAGAGGTTGAGCGTTCGCGCGCGAGACTGGAGGCCCTGGGTTCGAACCCCGCGAGTGGGATCGTGGATGTGCACTGCTGAGGAGATCCACGATAGAACGAAACGCCCGTCCAGTGCTTTCAGGTTTTCAATGCTGGTCTAAAATCAATCGGTTCATGATCTCAACAACCCTATACTGATAGTATGTATAACTTTGAACAACACGACACTGAAATTTTCGCAGCTGCCATTAACTCATAATCGTTAAACAAATTACTGGCTATCTAGATTCAGTAGCTAAGTAAAAAACGAGTACAGGGTTTAAGTCACATTGTGAACATTAACACTCGTATATACGTCCACTCGTCCAATGAACGAAACGCGTACCTTGGATTTCATCTCGAGGTACAATTCAAATATACACTAGATCTTCCAAAAAAAACATCAAATCCAAGGAACCACTGAAAATACATAAATGTCAATAAAGATCGATCAAAATTCAGTCCTGAATATCAACAATAAAATAATACAAACTCATAAATAAAGATATACAGGTTCATGTAACAGGTTACTAACTGAAATTATTATTTGAAGGTTAGAAAGTAAGGTAGGTAGAGTATTTCAATTGTGAATCAAACCCCTAAACTATTAATCACTGGATGAACACCGAGAGCTTCCTTTCTTCTAGACAAACTATCACATACCCTGGAGGTTTGAACACCCAAATCATCTTTGATGTGAGAATCGAAGTTATTGACTGAGGTAACTGACTCAAATTTGGCACTACCTAAACCAGAACTAGTTCGAATTGTACTTCCAAATCTCCGGGAACTGGATGGTTCCCCATTTGTTATTTCAGGCTTTTTATCAACTTCTGACGATAAAAACCACTGTGACATTGATAAACCCGTTGGAGAACAAGACGGTTTATTTGTTTTCTGTCCTTTGTTCCAGTTAGGAGTGGCTTTGTCAATTAAAAATGTTAAGCGTTTCCGAAGATCCGTTGCTTCTTTCTCCAGCTTACGACGTTCGTGTAGAAATTGGATTTCATGTCGTTGGAAATTTGACTGAAGTTTACGAAGCTATAAACAGAGAAGTAACAGGCAACTTACTGGAATTCAATATAATCTTAGGAATATCTAGAGGAAATTACAAAAGCATTTACATCAGTCGTTGTTGTCAATATATATAATCCGCCTGTAGCTCTTCTAGAGTTACTGCCGGTCCCAAGCCCGGGTAAAGGAGAGTTGGGAAAACAACCTTACTAAAAACACTAACCAGATCAAACAAATTAAGCCATCTAAACTCAAACATGGAAGTTGAAGGAAGAATTATGACGCGTTATTATGAAAGCCGAGATTTTTCGGAAGTCACGAGGCTGATGGCTCTTCTAACAACCAGAGCTACAATTTATATAGGTATGGAAAATGTGGGAGACCGGAAGGACCAGTCAAATAGCTACCGAAATGAGGCGATACAACTTGGCGGTGTTCGGAATCAGCAAAACCTATTAGACCCAAGCTGGACAGAAAAAGATAGATTCGAGAGAGATGCTGCTATACTCTGGTCACGAAGAAGAAAATGCTTTGCACGCACGAGTTGCACTGATGCTATTAAAAGCACGAAAAGCACTTTTTGGTCGAGAATCTCGTGAATTCAGTGTTATACACACCGATGATAGTAACGACGACGATAAAGATCAGTTCTATGAGAGGCTGCAACCAATCATAGCGAAGTGCTCAGGAAAAGAACTGACCATCCTGATGGGATGCCTAAACGCCAAAGGCGGAATGCACAACATCGGATATGAAGGTATCATGGGACAAAATGGACAGGGAGAGAGAAACGAGAATGGCGAGGAATTCGCCAATTTATGGACATTCAACAAAATGGTTGTAGGTGGCACAATATTCCCCTACAAACACATGCACAAAGCTACATGGGTCCTTCCGGATCATCTAACGGAGAACCAAATAGATCACATTTGCATCAACCAAAAATTCAGAAGGACAATAGGAGACGTGAGAATCAGGAGAGCAGCTGACATAGCCTCAGATCACCACCTGGTGGTTGTCAAGATGAAACTGAAGCTAAAGAAGCAATGGACAACTGGACAAACAGCAGTACAAAGACTCTATACAGCTTTCCTTCGACATGCTGACAAACTCAATGAATTTAAGATAACTCTCCATAACAGGTTCCAAGCCTTACAAGATCTACTGAAAGAAGAAACTACTATGGAGGACAACTGGAAAGGGATCAAACAAACACTAACTTCAGTGTCAGGAGGTTATGGGTAACAAGAAACATCATCATAAGGAATGGATCTCTGTCGAAACCCTGCACAAGATTAGAGATAGGAAGAACAAGAAGATAGTGATTGACAACAGACGAAAAAGAGCAAAGAAAGTTGAGACACAAACTGAATACATTGAAGCAAACAAGCGACAGCATTATAGCTGACAAGCAGAAATACATGGAAGCCTTAGCAGCGACAGTAGAAAAAGCTGCAAATGAAGGAAATATGAAACAACCATATGACATAACGAAGAAATTAGCAGGGGAATATGGTAAATCAGAGATACCGTTCAAGGACAAAGAAGGCAAGTCAATCATGAGATTCAAGAACAAAGAAACAAATGGGCAGAATACTTTGAGGAACTCGTAAATGGACCAACCACACTGAATCCACCAGACATAAAAGCAGCACCTACAGACCTTTAGGATGGCCATGCGACAAATCAAGAGCTAGCAAGAAGACATGGGAGTAACTGCAAACATGATTCATGTTCTATTCAGAAAGATTTGAGAAGAGGAACAGGTCCAGACAGATTGGAAAGAAGAATACCTCACCGAGATATCAAAGAAAGATATCAGAAAACGTGAAAACTACAGAGGCATCACACTACTATCAGTACCAGCAAAAGTTTTCAACAGTGTTGTTGAACCGGATGACGGATTCAGTAGACGCCCAACCTCGAGATCAACAGACTGGATTCTGTAAGAATCGGTCATACACAGACCAAATTGAGACACTACGGATCATCGTTGAACAATCAATTGAATGGAACTCGTCACTATACATTAACTCCCTTGACTATGAGAAAGTATTTAACTGTATACATAGGAGGACCCTATAGGACCTTCTTCAACACTATGGTATACCTGAAAACATTGTCAACATCATAGGGAATTCATACGACCGACTACGGTGCAAAGTCATGAGAGCAGGACAGCAGAGGCATTTCAAATGAGGACCGGAGCCAGACAAGGTTGCTGAATCTTCTCCATTCTCTTTCTTCTGGTGATTGACTGGATTATGGAGACTTCAACATCTGACGGGAAGTATGGAATACAATGGACAGCTAAGAATCAACTAGACCACTTGAACTAGACAGACGACCTGGCTTTTCTATTTCATACACACGAACAAATGCAGATGAAGACAAATAGCGTAACAGCAGCCACTACATCTGTAGACCTCAACATACACAAGGGAAAAAGCAAGATACTAAAATGAAACAGAGAAAACCAGCCCAATAACACTTGGTGGAGACGCTCTGAAATATATGGATACTTCCACATATCTGTGAAGCATCATCAATCAACAAGGAGGATCAGATGCAGACGTAAAGACGAGGATTTTCAAGGCAACGACCGCATTCCTACGACTGAAGAACATATGGAACTCAGAACAACCGTCAACCAACATCACAGTCAGAATCTCCACTACGAACGTCAAGACAGTTCTCCCGTACGGAGCTGAAACTTGGAGAACTAATACAACAATCATCAAGAAGGTACAATTATTTACAAATAGCTTTCTACGCAAGATACTCAACATCCATTGGCCAGATATCATCAGCAACAGCCTACTGTGAAGGAGAACAAACCAGCTTCCAGATGAAGGGGAAATTAGGAAAAGACGATGGAAATGGATAGGACATACATTGAAGAAATCATCACAAGGCATGCATCACAAGGCAAGTGCTTACTTCGAATCCTGAAGGGGAGCGGAAAAGAGGAAAACCAGAGAACACACTGTGGTGAGAATCGGAGGCAGACATGAAAAGGATGAATAGCAACTGTAAACAACTGGGAAGGATTGCCCAGGACAGAGTTGGGATGGAGAATGCTGGTGGGTGGCCTATGCTTCTCCGTGAGGGGTAACAGGCGTGAGTAATATATATATATATATATATATACAGCACTTCCGTATGCCGGAGGCGGGAGGATTATCTCGCCCTCTCGAAATGCTCTCGCGCGGCCACGCATATACAGCCACTGTCAAGGAAATCCTACTCACAGCATTCTCGCAACAGGGGTGTGTTTACGAAATTGAGAGGACGAAAAGCGAATGTCCGTCACTTTAACCAGGTTGGTGGATATGGAGGGTCTACCTAGGGGAGTTGGAAAACCCGGTCCCAAACCAATGGTGCATATGAGCTCCAGGATCCTGAAGGGACAAATGGCGTGTGAACCAATTGTTGGTCACCAACTGTCATGGGACTGCATCTCCTGATGTTGCTCAACTGCCTTATGGGCAAGACCTTTAGGTCGAAGGCGCCGAGTATTGGCTTCCCAGGAAGACTACCTGCTTCAGTCTGGGCGCCCGTGCAATATCACAGATCGCAAACAAACCAAGTGACTTGTGTGGCGCATATGGATTCGGTGCCCCTTTATATACCAATATTTATATGTTCAAATAATAATAACTTTCGTATCCTTCAATATATTATTAACCAGTCACAAATTTCGGGACTGTTTGTTACTACCAACTTACTGAAATTCCTTTAATAATAAAACCATGTTACAAGGTGGCCGATGGAGAATTCATCATTCTAATTAACGACAAATGATGGTTCTTTACTACGGATGTTCAGTCACCATACTGATAAAAAAATCCGATTCGACGAAAATCATGCCGTACGTATACAAATTTTTTTCTGATTCAATATTCATTACTTAAATTTCCTTTGTTTTTGTGTGAACTGTAAAATTTTCAGGTTTGCCAGACAAATATGAACAGTTAAATTTGAGCTCCTTTTGCTTATACTTGGATCAGACTATAAAAAACATCCTGTTACCGGTTTTTCCAACTAAATAAAATTGGCTATCAAAACCATTTATCCACTAGATGACCCCGTAAGTTGATGTTTCGTTTAATTTCATTAGGGTTCGACTCAAACAATTGAATGATTTCTTAGTTAAACACTAATAGTAAACAAAAGATTTAAAGATAAAGGATGTTTCTATTACTGAACAAAGCGGAAATAGTTAGTGAAAAATACGAAGTCGTAGTGCACTTAGTGGTACAACAGCATACTTAGTTACGAGCTAAACTTCGTGTGCGAAAGCTAGCAACATTAATCTGTTTCCAAGTAACAAGAGTAGCCGCAGAGAAGTAGCTATTTCTAGACAATTTAAATTGAAAATCACCAAACAAAGATTATGTTTAAACTACAAATACATCCAATGTCATGATATTCATTCAGAACAATTTAAAAATGCAACTACAAGAGAGAATTTTCGTCTACAAAAACTTACTTCATTACATGTAGATTTCAAACGATCATTAAGTAACTTTTTATCATTTAAAGCTTGTTTTTCCCTTTCTTTGATTAATTCATTTGATCTTTGTGTTTCTTCCAAATTTTGCTGACATCTTCGATAAAGTTTTTGTACTTGAGTTAAATCTGACCGTACACGATGAAAACTAATTACAAAACATAAAAAACAGAACGAAAAAAAGTATGTAAATACAAAATTGGTGCCTTGATTATAAATAATTAATTATATTTTTACCCATAAAATCAATGAATGTCATTTGCAGATAGCCAGATGTCTATTTTCTTTAATCAAAAGGCGAGTATACGGTAGTCTGCTTTGTATTATTCTATGATAAGGATAAATAGCCGATGATAGTAGAAGACATGAATTTGTTAGCATTCTATAATAAATGTTATAGAAACATTGCTTGTGCATGGTGGAGCTACAGTGTAAGGCTGATACTAGAGGTACGGTACTGATATGTGTCACACACGCTCTATCACCGACTATTCTGGGGTCTGACGCTGAATAGCATAATAGCAGATTTGAAAAAAATAATGTGTTGTATACCAAGTCATAAAATCAATGTATAAAATCACTAATTATGGGTCTGAAACGCGTTGGGAGGCGATAAACTTTGTTTTTGGAGGCCATAAACTGATTGCGATCGATAGATCTTCAATGACGTCTTAACATTGATCACAGAAATGAACCCATTTTTCATCTTCCTTTAAAAGTTTTAACACCGCTCATGCTTTTACTAACTGGTTTCATTTATTCTCTGCTTGGTCTCCACTCTTAATGACATTATTATTTCGACTTACTTGCTTGTCATCTTCTTGATTTCTTAGTGTTGTGCTGATAGAAAGTGTGAAAAAAGTCCAGTTTACACTTAGATTAGTAGTACCACCAATACAATTTTTATAACTGTGATTAACTTTTAGAAATAAATACAGGATCATTTGAAAATATCGTAACATACAAAGATATTGAATAACTGACAATACATACATATGTCATGACGTACAAAAAGCATAACCTAAAGTAAATATAATTTTTAAACGCAGGCTTATTTAGTTCACTATAACAAAGCCAATCTTAAGTTTTAAGGTAAAAAAATATTTATGCAGATGAGTTAATTAATGACTTCATAACAGTAACTAGCTTTATTCTGCTCATCTATTAAGGTTTAGTGTTTTAGGTACTTTATTTACTAAGTTTTTTATAACTGAGATGATAAATAAATACAGCGCACATGTATTTGCTTTCGTTTTACCAGACCTCAACCTTGTAAACGGAATTGTGAGATACATAACTCTACCATAGTAATCTGAAATTGATAATATGCATTTTACTATTGGTGAATTACTAAGAATAGCAACTTCATGTCGACTGAATAACTTGTTCAAGTTGAATGAACTTTCCTCAATTACTCGATGACGAAAAACGTTGGTACGTGATTTGTTTCACGCTATCAAAGAATGGCTCGACTGAATAAATTACTTTACAGGAACAGGTAAAGTCACATGCATCAATTGTTTGAGACACTAAAAATCTATAGGTTTGTGTTTGACATTAAGACAATAATATGCCGCAGTTAAATAGTTTAACCTTAACTGTTAAATCATCATCCTTAGACACCCAAAACTCGTAGACAATAAAGCAGAATCTACAAGTGACATGAATGAAGATGGAGAATGTACATCTGATTATATAAAAGTTCATGAAATGACTCATTTTCATTTATTTCTAAAACAAAACATTTGATACAATAGGGTACCAAAACATATGTAGTGAATGAAAATTAAACGTATTAGATAAAGTGATGAGACCATGTTATTGCTTGGATAAAAACGAGAAAATATTATAATTACATGATGAAGAATAATGCATAAGATAATTTTTGCTCCACAACAAGCCCCAAATGCCCTGGTACGGCCGAGAGTGGGAGAGTCCGCTCTCCGTCTCGAAATACTCTCACACGGCCGCGCGTATACAGCCTCTGCCAGGGAAGTCCTACTCACTGCCTTCTCGTGGCGGGGGTGTTGTTTACGAAAATGAGAGGACGAAAAGCGAATGTCCGGCGCTTTAACCGGATTCCAAACCAATGGTGCACAGGGGCTCCAGTATCCTGCGGGAACAAATAGCGTATGAACCAATCGTTGGTAATCGTGGAAGGCCCTTATAGTACAACTCCCAGTCAAATGCTCCCCGAGCCCCTTCATCTTGTGCACGATATTCAAAGGTATCTGCATCTATTACATCAATAAATGGACAAACAACAGTTTTGTAGTTCGCAGCAATTGGATCAAGTAGCGGCGGAAGCCAGTTTATTCCTGCTTCACACTGATTGCCAACTGATTAAGTGCGGATTGCATGCCTTGGGCATTATCGCACAGTAAGACAATATCGTCCGCATACTCAAGGTCGAGAAGTCTTTCTCCAGGCAACAGATCCACACCACCATTACTTACATTCATCAGAGCTGTTTCCAGAATGTCATCGATGGCAAAGTTGAAGAGGAATGGTGAGATTGGGCAACCCTGCCTAACCCCACTGCTCGAATGGAACAATGGAGAGAGGTGGTTGTATGCCCTCACTCTGCCTGAGGTGTTTTTATATAGGGCTTTTAGGATGTTAATAAACTTCTCAGGCACACCCTTCTTCAATAGACAATCCCAGAGAACAGTCCTGTCCAACGAATCGAAGGCAGCCCTGATGTCAAGAAACACTACGATTGTTGGCCTTTGAAAGTATGGCGGTGTTCTAACATTTGGCGGAGGGTGAAGATATGATCAATACATCCTCGACCAGAACGAAACCCAGCCTGCTCCTCGCGAGTCAATCTTTCTCGGGTTTTGAACAACCTACGAAGAATGACGGAAGCCAATAGCTTGGACGCAATCGGAAGTAAACTTATCCCCCGATAGTTGTTACAGGAACGACGTGAACCCTTTTTAAAGATAGGGACAACTATCGACTCATTCCATGACGTTGGTACACTCTCTAGTTCCCAAACCTTTGTAAACAACGTCGTCAATTCCTTAGTCAAAAAGTCACCACCATCTTTAAAAAGAGCCGGAGGTAAGTCATCTGGGCCAGGTGATTTGTAACGCTTCAAGAGTTGGAGTTCCTTGCGGACTTCCTCCTCGTTTGGTGGATCAGTCGTCACCGGCCATGGAGGGCAGGACAGTCTGACCGATGTTGCCGGAGCAGCAGGCCAGTTGAACTGCCCTTCGAAAAATTCTGCCCATCGTCCAAGACGTCGATGGATGTTAGTGATTGGCATCCCATCATCCTCGCAGATTGTTTCACTCACACCAGACTTCTTGCTGCCAGTGGCTCGGATGAGCTGGAAGAGCTTCCGGTAGTTACCAGATGCAGCTGCTGCTTCCAGCTCATTAGCACGCATCGACCACCAGGCTTCTCGGTCCTTACGCAAGCTTTGCCCAATTTCCTTACGTAACATCCTTCGTTTATGGTCAAACTCACGGTCACCCGGAGTAGACCGACGGGCTTCAATGAGTTGTAAGGAACCAGAAGAAACCCAGTGCTTAAAGCGGGACGTTTCGCAAACCCACAACTGACTGTTCCCGCCATTTTCATGGCGTCATGCAATTGCAACCAATGCTCATCTATACTTTTCGGTGGAGTGGTAGCTAGCCTAGAGGCTAGCTCGGTTCGATACTTACTTGCAACAGAAGTTGCAACCAGCTTGCTAACATCAATCCGTTGATGGCGTTCACTTCGTTGTCCACTGAAAAGTAAGGCAAGATTGGCGCAGACCAAGGCATGGTCAGAGTCCAGATAGGTACTCCAAAAGGAGCGGCAGTCTTGTACACAACCACGCCAGCGGTAGCTGATCGCGATGTGATCAATCTGAGTCCAGGCTTGAGATGCAGAGGGAGGACGCCAGGTGGCACATCGGCGATGACTGTGCCGAAAGTTAGTGCTAGCCAGAAACAGGTTGTGGTCTGTGCAAAGTTGCAGTAGACGGTCCCCGTTATCTGACCTGCGACCAACGAGTCCCCATCGGCCACCTAAACGACTCTCTTCTGTGCCTAGACGCCCGACCTGAGCATTCAAGTCTCCGGCTAGTACTACAATATCTGTCGAACGCACTTTCTGGAGAAGAACAGTTAACTGGTGGTAAAACTCATCCTTGATTGCATCCGGGCTGCAATCTGTCGGGGCATAGGCGGAGATGACGAAAAGACATCGTTTCTCACGCCGATTTCTTCTCACTTTGATGGAACTTTCTAATCTAACAGCACATAACCGACTGTTAATGGGGATCCAATCGACTAGTGCTGCCTCAGCTCTAGCGCTTAGTGCGACACCAACGCCAGCAAGACCAGACGAAGATGCCACAGGGTCCCCGGATAAGCGCACGTAAAACAAGCTTTTCGAAGCGACAGATGGAGATCGAATTTGTAGTACTTCGCCAGAGTCTTGAATACGGGTCTCGGATAGACAACAAACGTCGATATTAAGACTTTCCAAAGACATAGCCAGCCCTATCTGTTGTCCGACCTGCATAAATGTGCGAACGTTGAAGGCAGCCAGTTTGAATGGTGCACGTGGTTTCAGAAAAACTGCTTCAGTCCTCGTATTCGGTGGTAACATACAATTTTCAACCGGACAGTGACTCGAGAACGTTTAGATACAGTCGGAATTTCCACCAAAGACGAGCCGCTGTATAAGTATAAAAGAGGGTGAATAATGTGGAAAATAATAATAATAATAATAATAATAATAATAATAATAATAATAATAATAATAATAATAGTAATAATAATAGTATTAATAATGACAATAATTGTAATGATAATAACTTGAATCAATTGTTTATTTTTCAAAGCGAGAAAAGTAATTTCCATAGACATAAAGAGTTCATCATTTGTGTGTGGGCTGTGATACTGCCCGGGTGCCCAAACCGAAGCAGGTGGTTATCTTAGGGGGCCACTCCCCGAGCCTTTGACCTAAAGGTCTAACCCACAAGGCAGTGGAGCATCGTAAGGAGATGCAGTCCCATGGTAGCCGGTGACCAACGATTGGTTCATACGCCATTTGTTCCCGCAGGATACTGGAGCCCATGTGCACCATTGGTTTGGAATCCGGTTAAAGCGCCGGACATTCGCTTTTCGTCCTCTCATTTTCGTAAACAACACCCCCGCCACGAGAAGGCAATGAGTAGGACTTCCCTGGCAGAGGCTGTATACGCGCGGCCGTGTGAGAGTATTTCGAGAGGGAGGGCGGACTCACCCCACTCTCGGCCGTACCAGGGCATTCGGGGGTAGTAATCGGAAGGATTAGGGTTTGAAGATGTAATTCAAGGAGTATAATTCAGTGAATTAAATTTGGAAAGAGAATTAAAGGGACATGGAGATTAGGATTTGGGAGAACACAAAGAGTGGATGTACCTGCGCCATTGCAAACGATTTTGAGTCATGTCATTCAAGGTCTCTAATAATCGGTTGCTATCGTCTTGCGAATCCCAACCAGGTAGTCTACACCTGGTTTAGTCCACTTGTCAGTGACTTCATGGATTTGTGCCATGTTTTGGTCTGGCTGCCCTAGCTTTCTTTCAATCTACTCCTACACCATAAAACATAGTACGTCGGGGCAGTCTGTGGTTAGGCATACGTAACACGTATCCCAGCCATCTCAACTGATGAAGTTTCATCACTTCATCAATCGATTTGCCATCCTTACCTAGTACGCGTTTCCTAACAACCGCGTTACTTACTCCATGGTCCCAGGATATACGAGCAATGTTTCGAAGACACCTATGATCAAATACTAGTAACCTACGAATATCCTCTACCCTTACCGGCTATGTTCCACAGCCATAAGGTAGGACAGAACGAAATACTGCTCAATAAACCCGTCCTTTGTTTGGTAGACGGATATCTGAAAGGAAATAAAGTCTTTACAAGTCCAATTGCCAGACATCTCGATAGTGGACATGAAGTGAATGTAAATGATGCACTCAAAATAATCAACACACAAAAAACATGTCTTATTCAGTTTTTCAGACACAATCGCTATCAAACGTTTCCGACCTGACCTAGGTATAGAGAAGGAAGGTTTGACTAGCCATTTCCTGCCATGGTGGTTGGATATTTGTCCAATAACCTGTTAATTTTAATCTTTTTTTCAATCTTGTCCCCAACCTTTTATCGTCTTGCTATTCTTGCGTCTTTATGATATTCATCTCTTACACAATCTGATTGGTGTTCACATATTTATTTTATCATGTTGAGTGAGTACCTAGTCACCCATTAATTTCATCGCCTTTACATAATTATTACTTCTCAACATATAAATACACATCAGTCTTAACTATGTTTATCCATACACTTTGTAACCTTATTCTTCTGATTATGATTTTCATTACGTTTTGAGTAATTATCTAAACTTCATAAACTGAAGTATGCTAAACATTTATTAATTTTATTTAGATTAGTTATTGCAATTTTAAGTTGCATGCAGCCGATGAGAAATGAAAAATAATGAACTCATTTTATTTAACAAACCTTCTTCTTGCTCTGTTTACATTTATCAAGGGATATGGTTGTATGAAATTTTTGTAAAAACGCCTCATACTTAAATATTTACCTAATGTTGAAAACTAACTACATAACAAGAATAAAATTCGACTCACTTTAATTCAATTTCTTCACGACTATTTAAACTTTTACGATAGGATGTAATCAACTTTAACACATCATCAATAAAACTATTCATAGTGATTTGAATTTCTCCATTTTCCACCCTTAAAACCTTTGAATAACCCATTATCTCGAATTCCTAGATAAAATGCGATTAAAAATAACCAAGTGATAAACGACGAACTAATAAACTTAAAAGAAAATGTTTATGTTGTGGATGCAGAGGAATAGACCAATAATTATCATGTTAAGTCCAGTGGTGTCCTTGGACTTTAAATGGATATTTCCTATTGGTCGATATCTGTTCACTTGTTGAATATTGTACAAAATGTTGTTTTCTATTTTATGGTACGATGTGGTATGCTTGATTGGTATATAAACAAAGTATGTTTGAAATATAATGATTCATATCTCCGAGGCTGTGACTTGTGTTCTGGACTCAACTGACTGGGCTAGACAGGGAAGTGAGACCAATCGAGACTCTAGGCCGTCCGTACGTGTTTATGTGTCATTGAATCGATCGATAAGTGCGCTGCTCTCTAATTTTCCAGTCAAGGACACAACAATTAGCACAGGGTAAAAGTCGACCACAACTTAAAGTCATAACAGTTTATGTGAAGTAATCAGAAGATGGTTGACATAACGAAAGGTAACATAAGATATTTATTGGGGAATTAATTCCCTTAAAAAGATAGTATAAAAATCAAATATTCGCAATATTTAAATTTACAATTAACCTTGCTAAAAAGCTTGGTGCAACTAACAAGCTAATTGATTTTATTTGACCTAACTCATTTCACGAAGTACATGTTTGTGTTTGGCTTCGAGACCACACTCAAATTCTGAGGGCTAGTGAAACTACCATAATCCCTAAATCGAAGTAGATGGAGTGTGATTTGAAAAGGTGACTCAACTATTGAATTATAGGTATTTTAGCCAACAATTTATTTCATAACTAAGAAGTATTCCCAAACAAAAAAAGTACATAGCAGTAGGATTTTAAAATAGGATTTCAACCCTGTTAAAAAGCACAAAAACCAAACGAATAGTTCCCTAAGCAGCAATTATGTAGTGGGAAAGCTGTGATGTTAAAAATTTAAGCATATGATTTACAGCTCGTGATACAAGAACATTTAATAACTTGGATTACTCATAAACTAAAATACAATACAAAAAAGTATTACAAGCGCATCCTTATAAAGACAACCTTAAGTTATCCGGGAACAACTTATCAGTTACTACTGCCAAAATCATGTAGAAAGAAACTATACATACTAGGATGAAACGGCCATCCAGTACTTGCAGGTTTTCGATGGTGGTCTAACATTGATCGGTTCGTGATTTCAATATACACTTTAGATTTTGCTTAGAATATTCTCAGTAATTTAATGCTTTTATTTCCTATATTTTATCGTAATGTTTGTAGTGTAGTACACTGTTCAACTAGTAAGCTCAGTCAGCCAGTCATATGCAAAGCAAGACCTCATACATATGTACATTGGTTCAAGTTGCCATACCATATCAATACAGTGAGGTAAAATTATCTTAAGACAGAATCCAAAGGAGTAGAGGTAGTAACAGTGTCAGTGGTAGTATAAGGCCAAGGATAGAGAGATTTCAGAACCCAGGTTTTAAGAGGAGACAAAAAGTTCATGGACCAGAGCTACGGCAAACGATCCTGAGTCATGACACTCAGTCTCTAATTAACTAGTAAATTATGTTGAATCATGCATAAAAACAACAGTTTTTATACACCAAAATACATAAAGTAACTAAATTCACTTACATTTGATATGCAAAGTAATACGCTGAAATCACGAAGTATTAAAACATTTCAAGACACCATTTAATGCACAGATTACCACACCAGAGTACTACTAAGAACCCCAAGTAATCTAAGAATCTCAAATATCACTAACAAATGTTTATTATCACAATTTATATGCGTGAATACTGCACAAAAGTTTTTGACTCAGTGGTCTAGTGGTTAGGAGCTCGCGCGCGAAACCGAAGGTCCTGGGTTCAAATCCCGCGAGCGGAATCGTGGATACGCACTGCTGAAGAGTTCCATCATAGGACGAAACGGCCGTCCAGTGCTTTCAGGTTTTACTCTTCACCATAAGAGTAGAGGAATGCGGAAAAGATTTAGATCACTAGGTACTAATGAGACAAATCTCAATATTCGTATATAAACTAAAGGACTAAAAGAAGAGGAAATATTCCAGCACTATGGGAAGACAGTAATGTTTCATCGTTAGTGGAGGACGACTATGGTAAAGCTCAATTATCCTCAAACTACTTTAGCAATGTATACACCGCATGAACACCCTTCCCGTCAGTCCATACAAATCTCCCCACACACTGGACAACGTGACCATTAAAGAACTCGATGTCTTTGGTCTACTAAATAAGCTTGGCATAGGCAAATCCACGGGACCCGATGAACTGCATCCTAGGTTAGTAAAGGAATTAGTTAACTTCGCTGCGAACCCAGGGTCATTTACTGGAAGAACGCCATAGTAAGTCCTGTCTTCAAAACAGGTACGAAACATAAACCTGAGAACTATCAACCCGTTAGCCTAACTAGCGTGGTTGTTAAAATTTTAGAAAATATTATTCGGTAGGAGCTGTTTGAGTATTTCGGTGAAACCGGATCCTTTCGAAAAAGCAGCATGGTTTTAGAATATGTTATTCCTGTTTCACTAACTTAGTGGCTCGTGAAAGCTGGTGAGCTCTTAAAGACCAAAATCTACCTACAGAAGTAGCTTACATCAACTTCAGTAAAGTTTTTGACAAAGTTCCCCACAACCGGCTGTTATATACATTAAGAAATGTCGGAGTTGGAGGCAATCTATTAATATGGATAAAAGACTTTCTAGTTGTGCGACAACAAAAAGTACGGGTGAACTCCAAGTTGTCTGGCTGGGAGACTGTGCTTAGCGGAGTACCTCAGAATACAGTTTCGGAATCAGTGTTATTCCTCTTGTATGTAAATGATCTTTCACATCTCCTATCATCATCGGTCTTGCTATATACTGGTAAGATATGGAGAGCGATAAAAAGTAAGGGTGATAGCTTAGAGCTTCAAAATAACCTGGAGAAATCTGAATGGTCTCAAATTTGGCAGTTGCCGATATATATTTTCAAGTGTATTGTAATGCATATTGGTCATCAAGGTATAGATATACATGATGAATAACATTGAGCTACCTATTGTCACCTACCAATTGACACACAATGACTTAGGAGTCATCGTTAGCCAAGACTTAAAAACTACTGCACACTGCCATGGAACAGCCACCAAAGGTTTTAGAACCCTATGGTCAATAAGTAGGGCCTTTAGCCATGTCGAAGCTAAAACGTTTCTGACTTTGTATACACTATTTATGCGTCCTAAACGTCCTAAGCGACTAGCCTCTGCTTAAGAAGACAGTGAGGTTTTGAAAAAGGTTCAGAGAACAGCAACTAAGCTGATTCCCGGAATAGCGAAGCTCCCACAACATGTTCGACTGGTTAAACTTAATCTATTCTCATTATCATATCGAAGAACTAGAGGTGACTTGATTATGGTTTTCAAATTAATTAGTGGTAAATTTGAATCTGATATGTCTAAATTTTTTGGTCTTCCAAAACAGAGAATCTACGAGGACACTCCATAAAGGTTTACAAGCCCGGAACAAATTACTTTTCGGTTGACTATAGACTTTCCCATAGAGTCATTAAGGAGAGGAATTCATTATTTCAACACGTGGTTAAGGCTCCATCTGTCGACTCTTTCATAAGAAAGTTGGATCGACTGAGAGACCATTATTTCCAGGACTAACACAGACCATCTAGCCTCCTGTCCTTTCCAAACTGAAACTGAAACTTGTATCGATAAAGAAAATTTTTAAAAGACATTAAGCATAGCCAACTCTCATCTAAATACCATGCATACACATTTCTTAGAAAATGTATAGAAAAATCATACGTACAGAATTTATCAGTCGGATAGAAGAATCTAGCTGGCTCTGCGGGACAACTACGAAAGTCTCAGAGTGTGATGTAGAGGGATCTTGTGAAGATGGTTTATCAAAGACTGGTTGAATATTCCAAATAGCATTGTTGAAATAATCTATTGACGGAATATGCGACATTTTACGTTCAAAAATGTTCTCTTTGTTACGATCTTAAATGAAAACCTTGGATTAACAGTTAATCTTAATAAAGGGGGGAAGGAAAAATTTACAAATTGATTATACAATGAAAATATGAAAAGTGATGCTGAACTAAAACACCATGAACAATCGGAAAACACGTATAATTGGCTGATCAGAGAAGTGACAAATATCATAAACGTGAAGACCTCGATATGACATCGTCAAGATCACAGGTACATCTCGGTGACGAGGGCTAAGTAGAAAGGAACCTATGTCAAACAGGGTTCCCCCTATCGACAACTTCTGATACCTTAAGTGAACAATGATCAAAACCCAATTGATTGTAGTTTAACGACTCCTTGAATGCTATATTACTAAGAAAGTGGTTGTCAACCACATGGAATATGGTGCCGCCTTGAATTAGGATAATTAGCGAGTGAGTAATATATACAATTTTTAGACACATCTGAAGCTAAACCAGCCTTACTTTTTTACAACTCTGGTTGGGAGTTCGCAGCTATCAACCGCTACTGAGAAGCTGAAACCAACGAAGCTTAAGTATGCTTCATCTAATAATTATGATGAATTATCCCAGTAGCAACAAACCGTCACATAGTTTATATTTTAGATAACATATTACAGACTATCCCTAATAAATAAATAATAGTATTCAAAAGTTGGTCGAGCATCAAATTAAAAAAGCAGTAATGTAACAACTTAATAACACAACAGCACTGTTTATTCATCTAAACACATAAACACTGGTATAAGGGGGCACCAAATATATATGCGCCACACTTCATCATTCGATTTGTGTGAAGGTTGGAATACTGCTCGGGTGCCCAAACCGAAGCAGGACAGTAGCATTGACAGTATGAGACTCACCCACCTAAATCATGCTCTCCAGTATTGTCTCCCAAAAGACAACAGTGGTTTTACGGACGGTTACTGAAAACATCGGCTGGACTCCCGTCAACCGAGTTAAAAAAAAGTTAAAGATTAGCACTGAGAAGGTACAAAGGCCCAGGTATCGATAGAAACCTAGAATATGCTTCAGCCAGCCAATCTACATCTAATTAATCGATGCAGACTACTTGGTTGGGGTCCGCGTGACTTTCGTAACCAATGGTTGGAGACTCTTGGTGACATGGCTCAGAATCGATCACAATGGCGTCGGTTTATACACTCCCTGTCTTCCCTTAAACTAAGAGATTAAAATCACTTCATATCTTTCTTTCTACGAACCACTTCTTTCTTCTTGTACTATATCTCTATATGCAATCTTCCTCTTATTTATTACCACCTTTGACCTAACCACTGCTATGAATCCAATGTTCATCTTGTTGTGCTGATGCGGTATGGCAACCTGGACCGATGCACATATGTGCCTGGTCCTACGTTGTAGCTGACTGACTGAATTAATCGATTGGCTGACAAGGGTCGTGGAATTTCAGGCGATAGTCGTGGCCAAATCAAGAATTCTCTGAACCTAAAGTAGATAATACCCTTGAAAACAGGCCTGGGACTGTGTGAACTCCCTTATCATCATGAGATTAAAATACCGTCCAAATTTTTCCTCCAGTCTTTAAGATAAAAGTGATAGGATGTTGTTAAATGAAATGGACCAGGGGCTTAAACGTACAGAAAATAAACCTCTTAAAGGCTACACGACTTACATGAAGCAAGAATTCCAAACACGTGAACCAACCAAGGCTCCGTATAACGTTTACCAGTGCCGATGATGTGGGGGACGTTTTATTACCCAGTCATTCGCTCAAGTTCGAGTGACGTGAGAATACTGCCGGACAAACCGTGAAGCATAACTGCTTAACGAGCTCAAGAAAACCCAGACCACGATGACACAGCTAATGATGTCAAAGAAAGTCTAAGGAACTTGAGGCTATACAGTCGCAATATATTACAACTCAACACGGGGATGCTAGACCTCGATTTATGGGGGGGTGACCTTCCGATTATTCCATAGTGACCACAACTACCGGTGAACTTTACACCAGCAGACACTGGATACCAGCTACAATTCACATGCATCCTGATAGACCACACTACATTGTGATTAAGTGCGAGAATACATTTGAGCATACTGTTGCACTTATGGACTACCAAGAACACAAATACGTAGGAAGGGCAGGGATTGCCCAGTCATATAGGTCTTTTGCACACTTATAATTAAGTATATGTGCCTAATAAATAACACACAACCTGTTCTTTCTTTTGTAGATCTTTTCAAATCACAATAAGACTTGGCAATTACAATTAAAATACATAACGATTGACGCTCTAGCATCTGTTGACTATTCATAATGTTGTACAATCTGGCATTTTTTCTTTCCAATAAATTTCTTTCAACATGTACCATTTTTGATATCGATTGGAGTTGTCGTGTGGTTCGCTATGGAGATGAAAGCAAACACAGATCTTTGGGGTTAGGCCAAACGTGTGTTAAAAATTGAAGCGAAATTAGATAAATCTGCGTGTATTTAATCGAAAGGTTGACAATTCGGTGTGTATTTAGGCGATTAGACAATCCAGCGACATCCAAAACGCAGAGCGACATAAAGGGTAAATCCGCATTATTTCCCGCTGGTAGGTGAAAAAGTAGACATTTAAGCACGTTTCCCCATTATCTCCCCTTTATTGATTGCTTGGAGGATACCTACGAAAACGCTATGCAGCTCAAAGTGGATATATTCTCCATAAAACGGAGAAATCCGAAAAACAAGCTATAACGAATATGTTAGAGACTACCTTGTTCATAAAAACTGTAGCCATAACCTCAATAGAAAAAACATACCCCCCCCCGACACCTTTATTTTCTCTAACCGCTTACCACCAATGTTTGTGACGGGAACACGAACAAACAATGGTGTCACCGTGCGATGAAACATCACGAAGATTCTTTCAACCGCTTGAACAAAAGTTTTCGTCTATTTCAATTTATTTTAAACATCCATATAATTTATTCAAACATCAAATAAACGGTTGATGGTCTTCTGTGCACGATATTTTTCTAAAACATTGTCCACTCAGCTTCTGTAAATCAAGCAGTCAAATATTATCCAATATAATTTACCTGTAGTCATTACAGTGAAGGCGTGTTATGTTTTTTGTCATGTTGCATAAGTTTTTTGTGTTTTACTGCCTTCCGTGTAACTTATGGTGACATATATTCAGTGATTTTTGTAACAACAAAAATAAAAACATATTTTTTCTCCAATTTGTCACACCTTATTTGTAACCACATTTTTATTCAATATCTGTTGTTTTGCTGTATCACTTGTTAAAAAGACGATAATTTTTGTTTCGATGAATGATATACACTACTACTACCGGGTTGTTTAAAATATAGAACACTATCTACGCCGTTGTTCTTCTGTTTTATTGGCCACCGTTTTGATTGAAGACTATAATAGTATTATAACATCATTATAGGCCTTCCGACTCAACGTTGGACTTTTGGCGCGGTTTACTATTGTATAATACTATTGGACTCCGTCTTCCTCATTACGTCTTTGGTGCAGTCACTTGCAGAGGAACACCTGTCAACCAAGTGAACTCAGTTTGTGGTCGTTGTCCTCACGAGGCAGTTAACAAGTAACATTCATTCTATAGTAACTGTTAGCGTCTGTTTGTTTAATATACCTTTTGTATTGCTAACGGTATTTTATTACCTTTGTTTTTACTAACGGACAGACATCTAGGTTTCTTAATCATTAATTTGTTTTGGTATATCATTGTTAACCTAGTGTATCAATATATTTTGTGTAAGCTCCTTTTGTTTGGGGACCACCACAAATTTGGTGAGCCCGTAAAATTTTTTTTTCTCTCTCTCAACTACTTTTGAGTTCACTTACAGACATTACGGCGTTATTTTACCCTTGGTAGTATTTAAATTTTCGTATATTTGTAATGTACTCATCCGAAACTGAAGGCATTAGCCAGGATAACATTTCAGCAGAGCTACACGCTCTAAATTTGATAAATGTGCCCCCATTCAGCCGATTAAATCCTCGCATTTGGTTTGCGCAAGTAGAAGTACAATTTCAGCGTCGCAACATACGCTCACAGGCATCTAAATACTCTTTTGTGCTTGGATTACTACCCACTGAAGTTGCATCTGAGGTGTCAGATTTGATAGATAATATTCCTGCACCTAATCCATATGATCAATTGAAGCAGGCAATTATTCAACGTACCTCATTATCTGATGAAAAGAGATTACAGCAATTACTGCACGATTGTGAGCTAGGCGACAAATCACCGTCTCAATTATTACGACACATGAGACAATTAGCTGGCCCATATAAATTTGATGACGCCTTCCTCAAGGAGATTTGGCTACAACGTTTGCCAACAGTAGTTAGGCAAATTCTTTGTGCCTCTAGCCAAACATCAGATTTAGAGAGTCTTGCTAACATGGCCGATAAAATTTTAGAAGTTACACCCGGTACAACACCTTACGTACAGACAATATTAGAAACTTCGAACGATAAGCAAACTCCCACCATGGCATCGTTAACTGCTGAGCTAGGCGAACTGCGAGCACATCATGAACGAACTGTCGCTAGTCTTGAAAATAAACTGGATGCACTACAATTATTAATCTCCAATTTCACATCTACAAGACCTCGTTCTTGTTCTCGAGGGAGTAAGAATCGAGATAACTCAAAAGGAAACAAAAACGACGACAACATATGTTGGTACCATAAAAAATATGGTGACAAAGCTAGGAAATGTGTTACGTCTTGTAAATTTTTCAAGTCATTTTCCTCACCAAAACGTGTCAACCAAACCATGGTAGCGACAAATGTTTCTGGTCGTGCGCCTACTCGTCTTTTCCACGTTCTTGATAAAACTTCAGGCTACAAATTCTTAGTAGATACTGGAGCTGAAGTTAGTGTCATCCCAGTTACCTTAGCCAATAAACCTATTGCTAAGAGTGGAAAATATACCCTAAGGGCAGCTAATAAAACCGAAATAAAGACATTTGGTGAACAATTTCTAACATTAGACTTGGGAATTAGACGTAATTTAACCTGGGTGTTTATTATTGCGGATGTCCGTCACCCTATACTAGGTGCAGATTTTCTAAGTTTCTACAACCTACTAGTTGACGTTAAGAGAAGAAAACTTATTGATTCCTGCACGAACCTTCAAATCCAGGGAATTCAGTCGGACTACCACATACATAGTATTAAAATTGACACCCCAGGAAACGACATATTCGCCACCATTCTATCTAAATTTCCCAAAATAACGAAACCAGACTACAGTGAAAACACTGTCCAACATTCTGTAGTACACCGGATCATCACAAAAGGTCAACCAACTTCGGCACGTCCACGCCGATTACCACCAGACAAACTGAATGTTGCAAAAGCTGAGTTTGATCATATGATGCAGCTAGGTATAATACGTCCGTCAAGTAGCCCCTGGGCATCCCCACTCCACATGGTGCCCAAGCGAGACCAAGATTGGCGACCCTGTGGTGATTATAGATCATTGAACAACCTGACATTACCGGATCGCTACCCAATCCCTCATTTACATGATTTTTCTCTCACTTTACATGGCAAGCAAATTTTTTCTAAAATCGATCTTGTGCGAGCGTACCACCAGATACCAGTAGCATCCGAGGACATTGCAAAAACAGCCATCATTACTCCATTTGGTTTGTTTGAATTTCTAAGAATGCCTTTTGGATTAAAGAACGCCGCACAAACATTTCAACGATTTATGGATGAGGTCACTAAAGGCCTAGATTTTGTTTTCGTGTATATTGATGATGTCTTAATAGCTAGCAGTTCGCTCCATGAACACGCTGATCACCTACATCAATTATTCGAAAGATTTCAGAAATATGGCATAGTGATTAACCCATCCAAATGTATTTTCGGAGTTGAGAGTTTAGAGTTTTTAGGTCACTTGATCGACAAACGTGGAATTAAACCTTTGGATACAAAAATAGAAGCCATCAAGAATTTTCCAGAACCAGACTCATGGAATAAACTTCGACGTTTCTTGGGGATGATAAATTTTTATCGTCGCTTTATTCCACATTGCTCAGCCATCCTACAACCTTTGACAGAGGTGTTAAAAGGTAAAGTCAAAAAGTTCACATTACCCTCCCAAGCGAAAGATGCCTTTTCTGCAGCTAAAACAGCAATCGCTTCTACTACCATGCTGACCTACTTAAGCCCTGATCCGGAAGCAACACTAATTCTGTGTACAGATGCATCACAGGCAGCAGTAGGTGCAGTACTACAACAGCGAGTTAATAATGAGGTCAAACCACTTGCCTTCTTTTCAAAGAAGCTAGAACCAACCCAAACTCGATATAGCACTTTCGGTAGAGAACTATTGGCTATTTATCTAGCTGTTAAACATTTTAACCATTTACTGCAAGGCAGAGACTTTGTGATACTCACTGATCACAAACCTTTAACCTATGCCTTTAACGCGAAAAGTGACCGTTATTCCCCTAGAGAAATGCGACAATTGGATTATATTTCCCAATTTTCGACCAACATACAGTTTATAAAAGGTGAGTCAAATGTTGTTGCGGATACTTTGTCACGTTTCAACGTCGATGCAATTTCCTTCACCAAAGGAATCGATTTATTAGATATGGCACGTTTGCAGACAGATGATCCTGACCTTGATGCTTGTAAACAAAGTTCGAGCTTGTCCTTAAAAAGTGTTCCTATACCGCATTCTGACTCTACTATCATTTGTGATACTTCTACTGGAACGCACAGACCTTTTGTGCCAATAGTGTACAGAAAAGAGTTTTTGATTGTCTTCACTCACTATCCCATCCAGGGATTCGTGCTACTGTGAAACTGATTGCCGAAAGATTTGTCTGGCCAAAGATGAATGCAAATATAAAACTATGGACCAGGACTTGTGTACAATGTCAACGCAGTAAAATACATAGACATACGATTACAACACCGTCAGCATTTAGTCTACCCGACCATCGTTTTCAACATGTTCATGTTGATTTAGTTGGTCCTCTGCCTCCATCTAATGGATTCACTTACATTTTTACTGCAGTGGACCGTTTCACTAGATGGCCAATGGCATGCCCAATAAAAGATATCTCCGCGGAAAATGTTGCTGCTGTATTCCTCGACAGATGGATCGCTAATTTCGGTGTACCTTCTACAGTTACTTCTGACAGAGGTTCACAGTTCCAATCTCACCTCTTCAATGAATTTACCCGCATTTTAGGAATCCATCACATCACTACAACAGCATACCATCCAGCAGCGAATGGACTAGTGGAACGATTCCACAGACAACTAAAAAGCTCATTGATGGTACAGCCTGATGTTTCTAGATGGAGTGAATCTCTACCTCTTATTTTACTAAGCATACGTTCCACAATTAAAGAAGACCTACAATGTACTCCGGCACAGCTCGTCTATGGAGCTAATTTAACCTTACCGGGGCAGCTAGTGACGCATAATGGCAAACCCGTATGTACGGATCCCACTTCTTTTTGCGAAAGACTAATGAGCCATATGAATAACATTAAGCCTGTTGCACCTCGGCCAGTTGTCTTAAAAGAGCAAGTTAGCAAGCATCTAAATACGTGTAAATTTGTATTTGTTCGTGTTGACTCCGTAAGACGCCCTCTACAACATCCTTATGAAGGACCATTTGAAGTAGTTGAGAGGCAAACAAAATATTTCACAATCAATAAGAACGGAAAAAAAGAAACAGTTTCGATCGACAGGATAAAACCTGCTTTTATAGAATCTGAAACACATGACAGCCGAAAGCCGTCTAAAGACAGCGGTGATCACACAACGC